GTTGTTTTGAGCTTAGCAGACAGGCGAACGCAACGAATGACTAACGCTGCACAAATCTGCCGGCAGAATATGTTCGCTTTTATTATCCTGCTGCCTGCAGTTTGGATTATTTAGATGAAAAACACCTACCAGCTGCCGCGGTGAACCGCGAGGAGGTGACCCGGCCAGAGGCTGCTGTGGAATGGGATCCTACTGTCGGCGCACCGCTGTATGTGGGGGTCTGAGCGGCTCCGACAGAAATAATATTGAAAGGCAGGATGGTAATATTAATGAACTGACTGCACTAATTACGTTTTCAGGTGGATTTTCTCACTTAAAAATATATTAAAACTACTTTATTCCCACTGATCACAGCAAATATAGCTGCAAGGCAGAGAAAGGATAGAGAAGCTCCGCCCAATGCGCGTCAGACACACTTTTGCACCGCGCAGCCAGAGCAGCAAAGCTGCTTCAGCTGTGCGTCAGAACTAACTGGTACAAGCAGCAAAAATGAAGCAGCAGACGCGATTTTGCTGCTCCTGCTGCATCCAGTGTGAACGCAGCATTAGAGGTTGTGCCGTTTAGCGCTTATTGAGAGTCAAAGGGTATAATCGCACCCGACACGATCTCCTGCAGGGGGCAGCGTAGCTCCGACTGAGACAGAGCCCAGGTCTGTTTTAGTCGAACTAGGCAGCAATTCAGCAGCAATTTCATGGGTCTGACAGGAAGAGAGACGTGGTTACAAGTAAAACAAATCCACTTTAAGGGAAAATACAAAATAAAATCTGTTAATCTCAGGGGCAAAGGGTCAGTTTGTAAAAGAAAGTAAAACATCACTGGAAAAAAATCGAAATCTAGATAAGTCATTTTTTTCTGGAGACATTTTGCCAATGGAACAAGACAATTTACATTTAAAATAAGAAAACAGAATTGCATTGTCTTATTTCAAGTGCATTTTATCTAATTATCTTATTTTAAGAGTAAAAATACTGATTCCATAAGCAAACTACCTCATTTACCTACTCAGATTAAGGGTAAATACACTTAATTTAAGAAATTTTTACTTATTTCTAGATTGTTTTTCCTGTGAAGGACAGACTGGAGCAAAACCAAGCATTGAAACATTAAGATAGAAAACTTTCCTTATGATAGGAGTTCAGGAAGACAGAAAATGGGTAAAGTAGTGAAAAAAAAATGAGGGACAGAAAGTGCAGTTTATCACTTCAGGAGCAGAAATAACCGATATAGGAAAGTATTGATCCTCTTTGAGCCTCACAAAAAACTAAATAACGAGGCAGAGCAGGTAAGAGCAGCTTATCTCTCTCACCTCTATATGAAAAAAATGAAAGAAAAACTTGGATCAACTTCCCTGATCTCTCTGAGAATCCCCTCTCTGCCTCAGTCACCATGGAAACCGTCCCATGCAGGAAAATTACGCACAAAATTGTCTGACTTTGAGAATATAAGGGGCTGCTCAGTGGGTAGCACTGCTGCCTTGCAGCAGGAAGGTTCCGGGTTTGATTCCCGGTCCTTTCTCAGGGTTCCTACAGCATAAGGCAAGTTAATTCAAGACTTTTTAAGACTTTTTAATGACACTTGAAATAAAAATTTAAGAAACACAAGAAAAACCTGCTTGCGACAACTTAACCCAAAGGTTTATTTTAACATAAACCACTGCACTTATGTTTCAAATGTTGAAAAGCTTCCCATAAAGGAAGAAAGCTAAAAACACACAAATGACAGATATATTTTAACAATTATTTAACTGAATTCACAAACTTTGGTTTAGCAGGAAACAAAACAAATCAGTTTTAAAGCCCCAACATAACCAGTGCTAAGTCTTTTTTGCAGCTATTTTTCTTTGTATGGTTTTCTTAGTATGTTTGATTTGGTGATAAGTGGAGGCGTTGCAGAGACAAGGGTGGAACTNTTAAGCTCCACAAAGGTTGAGGGAAAATCAGACACAGGATTTTTGAGAGCGGGAGAGAGACAATTTCTGCAAACATGAAATGTTTTTATATCGCTCTCACGCCGGTTTCATTTAATCTACAGTCACCATTTGTTGTCAGTTTGTAGACTGAAGCTTTGCTTTCACACAATGTCTTTGGAATTACTCTAAGATTTATAGTTTTCTTGAAAACGTCCCCAGACCGACCAAAAGATGATGGATTTCCCATGATTTTCCCATTCATTTTTTTATTTTATTTTTATTTTTTTACAGTGTCCTGTCTGGTGATGTGGCAATAAGAATAATTGTCTTAATGCCAAAAAGAGCCGAACAGATTTAACTTTCAGGCTGGCGACCTGTCCAGGCTGGACCCGCCTCTCTCCTGTAGACTGCAGGGCACCAGCCATTTCAACTCTTAGAGCTGTTCTCTGTTTCTTCTTTCTAGAGATGGCTGCCGCTTCCTCTGCTCTAAAGCCGACCTCATCGCTGCTCTTCTTGCATTGACCTCTGACCCCTCTGTGGCCATAGTTAAGGACTGTTACCACATCCTGATCAACCTGTCTGCTGATGAGACTCTGCACCAGGTGAGCAGCTCATTCTGCTCTTAATGTCAAAGCAAACAATGGTGAGCAGAATAACAGCGGAGATTTGGATGGAGCCTGTCAGTCAGCCTTTAGCAAAGTAATAAACATTTAATTACAGAGTTTGGCCTAAAATAATCAGCTTAAGATTTAGGATTTATTAAGAATCCAGAACCAACAATTTAAATAATCAAACCAGGCAAAAGGATAAATGCTAACATCTGCTGATATTAGGATTTCGCTATGATAGAGAGCATCTTTTTTACTAAATGATCACATTGATGTGAACTAATTAAAAACTTTTTAATGAATCGTCAAACCAAACAGTCTCTGTTATGGTTCCCAGCATGTCTTCACCCACCCTGAAAACGTAAACCAATCAAATTAAATCAGATTAATACTGGGCTGCAGCCTCCTCCAGATTGATACTGGGCTGCAGCCTCCTCCAGATTGATACGG